CTAATTATTAGAAGGTCATTATTGGAAGGTCATTAAGTAAATACCTCCTTGCAGACTCTGGACAGCTTTGTTATGGCAGAGGCCATCTTAAATACCCACAATCCAATGGGGCAACATCAAGTGTCCCTCTATTGCTCATAGTCCACACTCTGGTTGACATAGTACATGTGGAAGAATTGCACAAGGAGAGGACAGATCAGACCGTGAAGAATCTTATGTACCAAACTAAAGTTGTAATGGTATAGCACTCCCAGAAACAAAACTATGTACATCAATCCAACAGTTTACGATTTGGGAGTTGAAATCAATGGACCCTCAGAGAATCAGAGCTATATTTCCAGGCCATGAATCTGTGTGAGCAAAATGCTTTTGTTACCTATAAGCTGGCACATGACTCCTGATATCAATGTGGGCGTGACATATTTTCACTTTGGTGTTGATTATCTTATCAGTACTGGCAAGTTAGAAAAGTAGCTTACCTCAGTTGGAATGTTTATTCATTCTTTATGTTTTCCAAACTTGAAACAAACGCAGTGCCTAAAAACTGCAAAGATTTAAAATCCTTAAGAATATACTAGTTACCAATTGTTTTTCTTTTTTAAATGTGCTATTTCTCCTTTAAAAAAGTGCTAATTCGATTTTTTAGCACTCCTTTGCATCATCAAAACAGATAAAAGGGCAAGAATTCCTTGATAAACCCTCACTTGTTAATTTAGCTTTAACAATACAGCAACTCACATACTCATGAAACTCTTGCAGCTTTGCTTCATCAGAAGCTCCTGTTGTTTCTACTTTGAAAATAGAGCTCCGAGCTGCCCACCCATCTCCATATCCACGGCCAGCATCTATCCGGGTGCAAGCTCAGCCTTCTTCACTAGGGCTGCTGTAATTATGGTGTTACTGGTCTCTCCAGTTCAATTCTTGCCCCATCCAATCTTTTCTCCCCTATAGATAGTGAGTTTTATTTGCATATCTATTATTAAAATAGAATCTCTTAGCCTGTCACGAATGGTTCCCACTCTCAACATTATTTTTAATTATACCTAGAGACCACTCATGTCCTAATGAAACCAGAACTAATCCAAAGGAGCAAGCAGTCTTTAAAACTCTTCTTTGTAGAAAGGTCAGACCTCACCATAGTAAGAACCATCTATTTCCATTGATCGAATACAAATCATTAAAATTCCATAACTAACAAAAATTATAACTGATACAGATAAATCACTATCAAACCCCAACGATTGATAAATATCCACTTCTGGAAGTAAAATTTCTACAGGCAGAGAGACAAGATGTCAAGAAAGGACTACTTGGCTTAATTTGCTTAGAAACTAGCAACCATGTCATAAAAAAGAAATATTTTGTGTCCTGGGGAGGTATAGAGATGGGCTGATACCACAACGTGACCTTCTTTTTCATGGTTGGGCTGCCCCTGGATGATACTTTGATTTATTAACAAGGGGATGATTCTAAACTGATAGTTTTTCTGCCTGTGCAATCAAAAAGATAATGTCAATCTGAATGAATAATATGCAAGACTAAAGGCTGGGATATTCTTTCGCCAGAAATAGTGTACAAAACAACATCCGTTTTAAAACTTATTTTTATTAAAGCTGTTTACTACTCTGAATCCTTGCCAGTATATTTACAATGAGCTTAACTAATCATTAATCTTTTTTAAAAAAATTGAAAAAATTCTTCCCGTGATCTTCACTTGCTATTAAAAGGCTAATAAGTTTCCAGTCTTCTCAATGGATTTTTAATTTTTTTATAGAGATAAAATCGACCTATTAAAAAGAACATTTCATTGTTGTTAAGCAGGAGTCATTTACAGCATTGGGAATGGAGGGGACCATATATTTCTTCTTCCAGTTTAATTTGCATGTTTTCAGTAATTAATCTCTCTTATTTTTTCTCATTTTTAGAATCTTTGTTGTATTAGTTATCTATTGCTGTGTAACAAATTACCTCAAAACGTAGCGGCTTAATGCAACAAATATTAATTACCTCACACAGTTTCTGAAGGTTAGGAGTTTAATGATGGCATAGGGGGTTCTGGCTCAGGGTCTGTCATGAGAGTGTAGTCAGGGAGTCAGCTAGGGCTGCAGTCATCTGAAGGATCCACTTCTAAGCTCACCAAGATGTCTCTTGGCAGGAGGTGTCATTCAATTCTTCACGGGCTATTGGGAACCTCAGTTACTCGTCACATAGGGCTGCTCACAATAAGGCAACTGGCTTCCCCCAGAGTAAATGATCCAAGAGAGGGAAAGCAAGATAGAAGCCGCAGTGTCTTTTATAACCTAATCTTGAAATGTTGTACCATTACTTCTGTCATATGCTATGGTCACACAGACCAACCCAGATACCATGTGGGAAGGGACTCATACAGGCTGCGAATGCCAGAAGGAAGGGATTACTGAGAGCCAACTTGGAGGCTGGCTATCAAAAACTTGGTGATACATATAATTTACTCATAATGTAGACATAGTGATACATATAATTTACTCATAATGTACACATTTCACAACATTTATGATGAAATATATTTTCTTTTCAAAATGGCATGATAGAAAAATTGCTTAATGTTTTAATATTATTGTTACCTTATTAATTCCCTTTATTTAACCTATTATTACCACAGTTTGGTAACATTTTGATAATTGGCATAGTGTTTCTAGAGGATTATTTTAAAAATTACAAAACATTAAACAAAATGTCTATTGAATCAATGAACATTAATGATTGACAGCAGATTCCAGAGTATAGTTCATTTCAGAAAATCGAAATTACTTTGTTTCATCATGGAGGTGACCAAGAAATTCAAATTAAATTAAATTGAAATGAGCAATCCATTTTTTTATTCTAAGTTATTTCTTAAACTTTTTAGGGTATGTTTTAGGCATCTTGAGAGTTTTGTCGATTGTTTAATTATATTAAAAGATGAACAGAAACCAGGGTTGTAGAAGATAAAGATTTGTATAGATTAAACAGAAAATATGCCTGGACTATATTATCTAGGATAACTAGTGTTTTATATCTCCAACCTCAAATTGCCACAAACCAGAATATTCTACTTCCTTATCAGCTAACATCTGCGATATGATAATTCACAGTCCATTTCAATTTTAGCTCTTACAAGATGATAACCACTCTTTACATGTTAGTGTCATCTAAACATGTGGAACTACTGCATTTTAGATGTGGAAAGATCCTTGGAATTTTTTATGTTATAAGTGTTCCTCACTTTTGAAGGGTTGAGAAATACTGTGCTTCATGGTGCCACTTTCCCATGTTCTCTGTTTCATCCTCAAATATCTGATTAAAATTTAGAACCTCGTGCTAGTACAGAGCAGTATTGGACTACTGATTATTATTTACTGTCTATAATTTCCAGAAAAAGCCAGTACCAGTTGATATTGTATGGTTCCAAAGAGAAGAATAGAAATCAGAGGCAGACATTGAGCAGGATATCTTTATGAGATCTCCTTACTCCTACTGCACATATACCCACACAGTGATCAATCGATAGTGCTTCTCTTTGAGAATTTAACTTTTTTCTTAAAAATAATACTGAGATATTTTTTAAAATATCAAAGTTAAAAGTAGGAGTCATTATAACTATAGTACATGCACACACGCACACTCATACACACACATAAACATACATTCAACTGCCTATATTTTGGTTTCTCTGTCACATGTCGAGATTATTTCAATCTAGCATCAGGGTCATATTACAAAGTTTATTTCCAAAGTAAATAATTTTTTCTTTCTTTTCATGAATTATAATACATTGTATAGAGCTAATCTTAGCTGAAGATTATCACAAGCATAAAGCTAATTCTTTTCTCTGACATGAGTCCTAGCTAACATACATAAGAATTATGGGACTTTAGCCAAGAATTGACCAGCCTTCAGTGACTTAGTTAAATTTTATTTCCGAAGTTTGATTTTTAGTATCGAAATTTGATATTTTTCTAAGTTCATTAACTAGAATATGCAATTTATGCTAGGATAAGTTCATAAAATCTGCTTGTTTATTACTCAGTATTTTGTGATCTCTCCAATGGTTTAAATGAATATTTTTATTCTTACATGGTATCATTGAATTTTTTTCATTTATTTGAATTCAAGGATCACCCGTTTTCTTTTATAAGAAACTGCTCTTCACATTCTTTTTGTCCTTTTCTAATATTTTGATAGTTTCTCAATTCTTTATCATTTCTCTTCAGAGGATTTTTACAAAATAATCCTCTAGGATACAGTTTTTCTTAAAGCACAGTTATGTGAACTTATCAGTGTTGAATTAAATAAATTGTGTTCTTTCAATGTTTTCTCTTCTAATTAGTGTTTTACAGATACTTGAATAAAGCTAACCCCAACTCCAGGCTCCAAAACTCTGGCCTTTCAGGGGCATGTATCCTAAATTTTATTTCTATATGTAATAAAGGGATTGTTTTAGTTATCTACTGGTTCATAGCAAACTACCCCAAAACTTAGTGGTTTAAAACAACCACTTTATTTTTTCTCACAATTCTGAGGGTTAACTGAGGCTTGGCTGTATGGTTCTTATACTGGTCTCATTCGAAGTCTCTCATGCAGCTTAGTTCATGGTAGGTGGGGCTGGAATGTCCACAGGGCTTGACTCTGGCCCCTTGGTTGGAAGGCTGGGCTTAGCTGGGACAACTGAACCTCTCCCTTGTCACATGGCCTTTCGACATGGTATCTCCAGCAGTATAGCCCAATTTTTACATGGCAGCTCAGGGCTTCCAAAAGGCAAAAGTGGAAGCAGCCAGGCTTTCTTAAGGCATAGTCCTAGAGTCTCTTTTGCCACATTCTGTTGGTTGAAGTGAGTCACAGTGTCAGCTCTGGTTCTGTCTGGGAGGAAATATACAGGGCATGAGTACTGGAAGGCCATATCTAGACAAAGCAATAAGGTTATGCTTTCCTTTTTCTCCACTAAGACCTCGATTTCTTTCTACTCCTTTTCAGCTCCCTGTGTGTCTGGTGGTTTGCCTAAGCCTACAAATATCACCTTCTCATCCATCAACATGAAGAATATCTTACAATGGAGACCACCAGAGGGCCTACTAGGAGTGGAAGTTACTTACACCGTGCTGTATTTCATGTAAGTTAGTTCTTTTTCTTTTGTCAATTTATAAACACAAGATTCAGACTCCTATTAATTGTGTGAAGGTAAACCATCTTTTGTATTAAATAAGTATTTGAAAAAAGTTTTAAATATTTCATGTTAAATTTTCTTGTTATGTTTTGTTAGATTAAATTAGAAAACAATTTCTTCATAGAGATAGGAACATTGGCTGCTTAGGCAAGGAGAAGTTACTTAAATGGAGAAAAGAGGTTAATCAAAATGTTTTTCTGTGGCTGAGCAAACAAGGAAATCCATCATCCCTGAAATGTCCAAACTTATTGGAATTATAGGCATTTTTAAGTGAAACCGAGTGCAGAATTCTGTGCAACTAGCTGTTCCTCTTAAAGAGAGTAGTGACTGGAAATTTTTACTTTCCACTTCTCCTTCAAAACTCATTGCAAGGAAGAAAGAATATAAATCATATAGAAAATGCCCACCTTCAAAGCAACGAAGGAAATAATCACAACCCCAACCACAGACTGTGAAGCGTACCAACCAAATACTGTGAAATCTCTAGGAAAGAATCGCAGAAGCTGAAAGCAAAACTATACCTTCTCAAACTCCAACAATAGAAAATAATTTCCCAAGAATAAATGTCATAGGACTAAGACGCTAACCCAACAATCTGAGGATGTGGAATCTAAGGATTTCTGCCACTAGAAATTGAGGACATGTCCCCATGGAGCGCCTGTTTGGAGCCACAGAAAGTCAGAGAAGGAGGAGCCAAAAGAGAAATCAGGTTTAAGTGACACGTTCATTGTTGAGACCCAGTCACAGCCCAGGAGGAAACCTAGAGTTGGATGGAGGCAGGAGGGAGGAGGCAGTCCAGGGAGGTCATGACTTCACAAACAGGCCCTGAGCTACATCAGCCTCCTGCAGTCCAACACCTGAGGATGGCAGGCTCCCAGCAAATGATTCAGTCAGCCGGTGTGTGACAAACCCTCACTCATGAAATGATTTCTGACCATCATAGCAAAAGCAAGACTCAGGTTGGGCCAGGGGATAGGGGATGGAGTGTTTTCCACCTGGCAGCACTCAGTGCATCTTCTAAGGGAAAATAGGCATGGCCTGAGACTCTTATCAAGTTCAACAGATATATTTTCAAGCAGGTGGAAATTGGGGATATCATTCCCCTGACAGCTTCTTCGGGGGCAGGAGAGAACCACTAACTAAAGATAATATCTACCTGACAGAGAGGAAAAGATTAACCTAAATAAAGAACTTAGTAATGACACGATTATGGCCAAAGACTAGTAGCATGCATTGAAACTATCTAAATGGAGAACTAAGGCTAAATAGTGATGGAAAATATGGTTATCAAACTTTTGTAAATGTTTGAACCTAAACAAAAATATAATAAATCAGAAGGTGGGAAAAAACTATAAGTGTACTGATTTTCATAGCAGGAAATTATTAAATGTGATCTAAAATGTAAATACTTAATAACTAGACTCAATATTTTTCAAAAAAATCATTTAAAAATTTTAGAAACTAATATCTTGTGATGAAACATTTGAACTATAGCAATTCCTGTAATTTCATTCTAATTTATTTTTTATATTAAAGTTCAAATCAAGTTATAGTTATGACTTTTATTAAAACCATATGTATGGTATAATCTAGTTTTTATCAATATATTCAGCTATCTAATTATCTTTCCAGTTATCTGTAAACATAATGAGATGTGCAGAATCATGTATACCAAATGTTTCAGGGTAATGGATTTTAGAGTTATTTATTTCCCTCTTGGTTATATTGTTCTAATTGTTTGAGTTTTTAAAAAATATACCACATTTACAAAAAAAAAAAAGAATAAAGTTATTTTTGTCTTTGCGAAAAAATTCTGACCACTGAAGGCAGTGAAAGACTTCAACTGCTATTCACAATGATTTCATTTACCTAGAACTTCATTGTCATTTTTGCAGAGTTTCCCAAGATCTGGGATTTTAGGAAAGAAGATATCACTGTGCAAACAGAAATGGCTCATGAGTATGTGCATGCCTCCTTTTCCATTAGGTGGAGCAAAGAGCTTGTTCGGTCCTTTATATGTCTACATGATTCACAAAAGGATTTTTTTTTAATGAGCAGATTCATCACTGCTCTGTGACAGCAGACAATTTAGGTTGTGCAACTTTCGAAAAAGAATATTTAAAAACAAACTTGCCACATCAGAGTTCTTACATGCCGGTGCCTGTGGGTTGCCGCAGAGTTCTTACATGCCAGTGCATGTGGGAGGTGACAGGAATGCAGGGAGGTGTATTTCATGGACAGGGCTCCAAGTTCAGCTCATAGTCGAACAGCCCTGGGTTCATAGCCAGGCTGCGAACCTAGCCAGCTAACCTTGGGCAGGTGACACATCATACTTTCGAATGAAGTTTATTTCCAAGTAAAAGATGAAATTTCAACAAAAGTTTAAATTGTATCTGCCAAAAGAATTTTATGCAGAAAAGCACAAGCTTTGGCATCAGAAAGTGGTTCAAATCCCAGATACACCTTTTATTAGTCGTATGAACTTGAGCAGTTTCCTTCATCTTAGCCTCAGTTTCTTCATATGTAAAATGGGATGAAAATAATAGCACCTGCCTTCTAGGGAGTTTTATGATGATTAATGAGATAAAGCATGCAAATAGTAAGTACTGGCAGGCTCGCAATAGGCACTTGATAAATGTTTCCTGCCATCACCAGAAAACAATCAGAGACCACTGAGGGTCCCTCATGACTTTTTGCCATGCATAAACGTCATTACTGGAGTATTTGTTGAATGATTCATGTCTATGAACTTGTCAGACTTACAAAGCATTTTGTACAGAACCCAGTAAAGAGAATTTTCTCCTTCATCAACATCTGTTGTGGGAAGCTGCCTGCCATTGTCAATCTGAGGAAGTTTGCAGAGGGAGGGTCAAATAGGCAATGCCGATGTTTTTCAAAATATAAGTCAAGACCTGTTGATGGGCCATGAAATCAATTTTGAGGGACATAACTAGCATTATTTTTAATGGAAAGGACTAGAATGGTATGAAATGGATTAGAATGGAAAATAACTGAACACATGGCATTTGGTAAAAATTAAGTATTATAAAAACTTTGCTTTAGTATGTTATATATATGTATGTTTTTGTAATCTGTGTCACATTGTAAATGTATTTCTTTCTGTGGCTCACATTCAAAAAAAGTTTGAAAGCCCTTAGGCAATGGTGATAACTTGGATGGAGAAGTTGGTCAACAAGACCTGACTATAGTTTTTCTAATGTCTTGTGGCAGGTATAGTACTTATGAAACAGGAGACATTTACTTTCAGGATTCTGCTGCTCTATTCTGAAAAGGGATGATACCCTTAAGCTTTGGCAGCACTTGATAAAATTGACATTTCCTCCTTCTCAAGATATTCTCTTCTCTTGACTTTTGTGATATCTGTTTTTCCTTTTCTCTTTAGCTGCTATTTCTAAGTATACTTTGTATCCAACCCTTAAATCCCGATGCTCTTGAAATTTTATCCTAGGCTTTGCATTGTCTCCATGGATAATTTCATTCATGCCTACGCCTTCAATTAGCAGTTATATGCCATTGATTTCGAAATCACTACCTCCCACCCACACTTCTCTCCTGAGCCCGTGTCTATGAGCATCTGCATTTGAAATTCTTTTACATACCTCAAGCTCAACATGTCAACTGAACTCCTTATCTTTCCTTCCTTCTACGGCCCTCTCTCCATTTCCCAAACCCACTCCTTTTCTGTGTTTATCTTGGTAAATGTTGTCTCACCCATTTCACCCATCCTAGACAGAAAGAGACATCATCCTTAAGTAACCTTTCATTTCACTCATCATTTACATGCACTGAATCACTAAGTGCTGTCCCTCATATTTCTTCCTTTTGTCCTATTATCGGTTCCACTGCCAGTGTCTTTGTCCAAGCCACCTACATCTTTTACCTGGACTACTGCAGTCTCCTCTCAACTCCTCTCCAGGTTGCAACTCCTACCCCATTCTATTCTCCATGCTACCGCCAGAGTTATCTTTCTAAAAGCAACACCCCTGCTTTAATCCTTTCAGTAGCTTCCCATGCAGCCCTCTCTCTTTCATCAGCTCATCCTGTATCACTTAAACTCTATACCTCAGTCTCTCCCCTCTAAAGAGTGCTAAAACGATTTCCTCCTTCCTGTTTACTATGAGTGTTGTGTTTTTAATAAAGGAAAGGAAAAAATCTATGTGAACAACCTAGTTAAATATCATCATTATCATCATCCTATAATTACCGAAAATGTAGATCTTGGTGTATACTTCAACCCAGTGAATTTTCCCTAAACCCTTGATGGCAAGTAGATTTTTAAATTTTGTAGCGAAGGTCATTTTTCTTCTAAGAAAGAAAATGACTGATTTTTCTTAAAACAGTCCATCAAACTGACCTTTGTATGCATGGTGGATGAAAACTTACATAGATAATTACTAGAAGAATTGATTACACGATATGTAAATATTTTCCTGTAGCCCAAGAATAATAATAAAATACATGCTTTCAAAATGTACTATCCACATTATAATTCACAGAAAAGAGAGGTGATTACAGAAACTCTGACTCATGTTCCTGACAACTAATGATAAAAATTGCCAGCAGCAAAAGTAGATTCTTTTTTATCTCAATGACAGGCCCTTTTGTTGTTCTGAAGAGAAGGTCTTAAGTTCCATTCAGTTGTGTATAATGACTGGTTTTTTCCTATTGTAAAGCACAGAGGGCACCTTATTATTAATTCAGTTTCCTTCTCAGCAGATATGGGCAAAAGAAATGGCTGAATAAATCTGAATGCAGAAACATCAGTAGGACCTACTGTGATCTCTCTGCTGAAACTTCTGACTATGAACATCAATATTATGGGAAAGTTAAGGCCATTTGGGGAACGAATTGTTCCAAATGGGCAGAAACTGGACGATTCTATCCTTTTTTAGAAAGTAAGTAACACAGTTGTCTGTTAAACACATATTAGTATCAAGTTCATCGGACCACCTAGTCTTAGCAGTCTCAGCCTCATAGAGAGCCTTGCCTGAGAGGCCAGTACTCTGCTTGGCTCTGTTCTTCACTCTGTCCATCAGCTGGTGGAGTGACCAGCCTAAGGTGCTTCTCATAGCTGGATCCACATCTCATCTTTAGAATGAAAGCTTTGGCCAAGGGACCTCTAAGATCTCTCTCAGATCCAAAATTGATGCTAGATGCCAGTATTATTAAATTTTTAGTTTTATGTTATTATTTAGTGGAAACTGTGTAATTTGAGGAACAACTAACAGATTTTTTTAAATGTTGTTGTTTTGTAAACCATTGCTATATGTCCACAAGATTGATTAAAGATTGTTCTGATCACCAAACTAAGTCTCTTCTTATTATAAACTTGGTAGTAGGATGATGTAATTTCTAGGTGTAACTTGGAATTAAGGCAACATCTTTGTGGTATTTGATTTTTAATGATTCCATCCCCTGATGTGTAGCTGACTCGGCATAGAGGACACGCATAGAGCTGCCATAATGAAATTTACAAGGTTTCCTTAGGTCCCAAAGCTGGAGTTATTTCCTTAGTGCCCTGCTAGATCAGAAGTCATCAAAGTATGCCCTCAGACCAAAGGCAGCAACCACCCCGCTTTCTGTTCTCCTGCAGGCCAAAAGCCAAGAATGGTTTTTACATTTATATAAATAATAGTTGCAACAGAGATCATATGGCCTGCAAAGCCTAAAATATTTACTTTCTGGACCTTCATGGTAAAACTTTGCTAACCTCTGTTCTTTAGCCATCTTCATTTCTCCGTGTCTGATTTTTGCCATTTATATATTGTTATTTGCAACCAACTTTTCAAGTCACAGGACTGTTATAAACAGTTTTCATTGTATTTATCATCCTCAAGTACTCTTTATCCATGTGACTAGGAACTAAGTACACGCATCATCTCAATTTACTGTTTTAACATTGTGTCAGGGTGTCTGAAATGATTGTTTCAAGATTTGGCATGACTTGGGCCCACCTTACAGCATCTGAGGCATCTCAAATAAGGGAGGTGGGCTTCAGAGCTTTGATCCCAGCAAGATTATATTGTAGTTTTATCCTAAGTGATTTCTATATTTGATCATAATTCCTCCTCCTCTCTCCTTTAAGCACAGATTGGCCCTCCAGCGGTGGCTTTGACTCCTGGTGAGAAATCCATTTCTATTGTTCTAACGGCTCCAGAGAAGTGGAAGAAAAATCCAGAAGAAAGTTCTATTTCCATGCAACAAATATACTCTAATCTGAAGTATAATGTGTCCGTATATAATACTAAATCAAACAGAACGGTAAGCCTGAAATGGAATGGGGGCATAAAATTTGTGCCAATTTTGTAGTTAATGTTGGAACAAACAACCCCGATGCTTTAATTCTCTGCACATGAAAATGGAAAGATTTGATATTCAGAAGGGATGCCATCCAAGATACAATGGAGGCCAATATGTAGACACTTAAAGAACATTCTTTAGATTTCCTTTACAGAAACTCTCTGCTAATAGGGTGTGACATTGCCATTGGCGTGGTTGTCCATCTCACTTTGATGGAGAGCTTTTACTTGCATAACATCCGTCCGTCACTCTCCGAGAAAGAGAAAAATGTTAGCAAGAACACAGGGCACGGTTGAACAGAAAAACCATCCCCATGTTATTATTTAGCATTGTTCCCAGAATTCCAGTTCTGGACCATGCTCCACGGAGCTGAAGGAAAAGGTATTTTAAAGATGTTGCTGAACAGAGAGCTCGCAGTGACAGTAAAGGATTTAATGGTGTCTCGGTCTTTTGTTTCCTTATAGAGTTATTTGTCTGGGGTGGTACTGGAAACCTTTGCCTCTAACTGCTGTCTGCAATTCCCTAACCTAGTGGTCCCTGTGTGTGACCAACCACACACTTATGCTCAGCTGGCTGGAGCCGGACACGCTGTACTGCATCCAGGTGGAGTCGTTCGTCCCAGGGCCACCTCGCCTTGCTCAGCCTTCCGAGAAGCAGTGTGTCAATACTTTGAAAGGTAAGCTTAAAAATATCTCAGCCGCTCTGAAGAAAGAAATCTGATAAAACTAGAAAGAAGTGTGGCACTGTAGACAAACTATTGGCAAATCCATTTCCCCCGAAACAGGTTGAGGCAAAGGCAGAAACAACCATCACCACATATGCATTGAGCAGCCTGGGCCTCTGCCGACATGAGGGAGTGTTTTCACCCCCTTAGGGAACTCTCAGCACAGGTCCTGGCATTTGCTGTCAACAAGCTTCTGCCTTGGGAAATAACAATTAGGAGTTTTCACACACATCTTTTTTCCTCTTTAAAATTATCATCAATCTGTTCAGTAGACATTCTGTAGTCTTCAAGAACCTCAGACAATTTTATTGCTAGAAACGAAGTAGTATCCTAAAAACACTTTAAGACACAATCCTTTGCTCCCGCTCAGGAACACAAATTACAAGCTCCACGAGTCGTGTTCAGATATCAGTGACTACGCGAGGGCCTGGGATCCGCAAATCAGTAATTACTGCCTAATTCTTACAGTTACTACTCTCTCCTTCCTTTTATTTGTCTCCTTCTCATGTTTTCTGAACTTGGCTGCCAAGGAACTGTGGGTGAAGATTCTCCTTCCTGTTAGAAGACATAGAGTTAAAAGCTTGTTATTTGTTTATGTTCCCCACTCCCCCAGGGTGAGAGGACCTTATACTCAAAACCTGAAAATTGTAAATAAACTCTAAAGTTTACCTTCATTGAATGGCTCTTCACCCACTAGTCTTCTGTTTCTCTTACAAATGTGCTGGCCTAAGACCAGGGTTACAGCCTTTTCCCACAAACCTTCATTCCATCACCAGCTATGGGACAGGTATGATGACAGGACCCCTTTTTCCTCTTTCCTCTCACATTTCATGATGAAACTGTCTCAAAGAATAAAAAGGGAACTTTGCGAGTACATGTCAAAAGTGAAAAGCCTTATTTTTCATCTCTATCCTTATCATACCTTTCCCTTTAAAATGAAGGGCTTCCTCCCACATTCAAATAAAACTAAAATGCTAAGCAAACAAAGGCAAAACAAAACAGATTGAAGAAATCATTTTTGTATTTGGAAAAAGTACTGTGTTTACTAACAGTTGGATCAGTGGCCAAATGGTAGGAATGAATTTCCAATGGAAGTCATTTTAGCAGTTGGCAGAGCAATAGCAAATGGAGATCAGATTAAATTAAATCTTTCCCAGTAAGCAGATGGAGCGACCTTCTAACTAGTCTAGGAAAGGTAGCAAAGGAACGAGGAGGCACCATTTCAGGTTCTGACCTGATGTCCCGGCTGTTAGATCATCCCATATACCTTTCCAGGAAGACATTGCTTTGAGGATCTACTTTTTTAAAACATCAGTATTTTTTTTTTGAGACTATTCTTTAAAAAGCATTTGTCTACAGTGCCAGTCTCCAGTTCCTAAAATACAGGTATAAATTATTATTATACAGGTATAATTTATTAGGTTTCTTGTAGCTAACACATGCTAATGTACACTAAATGCCACCAGTCAATGTTGTAATGGCTCTTTTTAATTAGGGCAAGTTCAGTCCAGGGACCAGGGATTGTTTTAAGAGGACTGGACTGAGTAGTAGCCTTAAAGTAGGGGCAAGTGATGCTCAGCCACCTGCAACGATTGCACTATGGTGTTGGCACCTTTCTATGTGGAACCTGATGACAGTTGTGCTTTCCAGGAATTGTTTGGGGTAGGGGAACAGATGGACCCCCATACCTAGGAATCTGCTATACTCAAGTCTGATCATTTAAATGTTAACCTAATATAAAAAAAAGCCTTCATGGAAATATCTAGGATAATGTTTGACCAAAATCTGGGTACTGTGGCCTAGCCAAATTGACATATAAAATTAATCATCACAACTTCCAGGTACCCCAAAGGAGCTTAACAAATATAGGTCTGTCACAATGAGCTCTGCTCATCAATTATATACTCTGATCAATGGTGGGATAGGACCACTTTTTGTAAAACTATTCACAGGTTTTTTCATTCCCTGTGGACTTTTACTCATCATGAACCTACAGCACAACAGGACCTGGAATCCTCAGCATACGCCAGCTCAACTACCTCCCTACTCACATCCCCAACCTCCAGACCTACCCGGAAGGTCTGGCCAACCTGCGCGGATAGTTCTGTTAGTCACATAAAAGGTGACGCCATGGATTCCTGTCCTCTACTGAATATATGGAAAGAATTGAGTTAAATGAGTGGCATGGAAAAGATTTGAGATGAGTTAGATAATTCCTTAAGACCACCTGCTGTCAGAGAGGGTAAAATTCTCAGCACCCTTATAACGTTTTTAGCTCAAGCTTCTCAAATTATAAGTGAGAAAACTGAATTTCTAAATGTCAGTGATCTGCCCCGGAGTCTAGACATTGCCATTGTTTTCCCATCAAATCACAATATCTACCCTGCTCCTTTTTTGTTGTTGTTTTCACAGATCAAACATCAGCACTGAAGATTAAAATCATCTTCTGGTATGTTTTGCCCACATCTGTTATCGTGTTTATTTTTTTTGTGATGGGCTTCTCCATGTACAGATATATCCATGTTGGCAAAGAGAAACACCCAGCAAATTTGGTGAGTGCTTAGTGTGGCAGGAGTCATTGTAATAACACACTTCCAGGAAGATAGAAAAGGAGGCTCTAGAGTAGATACTGTTCCTTTTACAGGCAGAATGAGTTTAAAATTAAAGAATCGATGAATTAAAAGACACTTTCTCTACTAGATTAACTCACTAACGTGACCAAAGGGAAAGATTCTTTAGCTTTGACAAAGATTTTATATTTAATGACCAGATTAGACGAAGTCTTAGGATACAAGATAAGTCATGATCCATGCCCTACAGAGGTTCAAGTCTAGTTGGGGATGAGAATTTCAAAATGATACGTGAAGGCTAAGGTGAAAACAGGTACTAGGGAGGCTGAGGATCTAGGGCAGGCACTGAAACCCCACATGCAGGAGCAGGAGAAGTTTCATCCCTGGGCTTAGTTATGAAACGTGAGTAAGAGTAGGGGCAGCTATTGTAGGCATAGAAACAACAGGAGCAAAGGTGGGTAGGTGTTTAGTAAACCACATAATATCGCTGAGTCATGAGGTGATGAGGAGCTATGAAAGACGAGACTGGAGAGTGGGTAGGCCAAGTAACAGGAGAATTGGGCTGTTATTCTAAGGAGTGTGGGGTGGGCTTTATTCTGTTGGCAAAGAAAAATCTCCATAGGGTTTTACATTAGGAGTGTAATGGTCGATATTGTGTTTTAGATACAAATGGATAGTGGGTCTAAGACAACTTTAGGGGAAGTGAGACTAGAAACAAGTAAAGCACCTAGGAGACTGGCAGTTTTCCAAAAGAGGAGAGTGGGATTTAGGATGGAGATAAAGACATGGAATAGAAACACATTTAGGCAAAATATGGCCATTATTTAATCATTCACAAGAAAGTAAGAGGAGTAAAACTTATGCTTCTGGACCAAGCGCTGAAGGGTTTTGAAAGGCTGGGAATATTTTAACCATAACAGTTTCTTTGGGAATTAGAATATGTTCACATGTACATGATGCATACACATATTCCTGTTAGTTCGACTTAAAATTTTTTCCATTAAGCAGCCTGCATTTAGGTCTTGGAGTTAGCTTTTTATAGGCATAGGGAGACCTGTCCTGGGAGGAAAATTCACAGAATTGACCACATGTGACTTTTTGAGATCAAAAGAAATTGTAAAAGAATGAAGCCAAAGGACCTATTTTATGTTAAATGAAGCCAAAGGACCTATTTTATGTTAAATGAAAGCATTGCCTATCACAGGATAGACAATGAGGATTGTAACATAACTCCTCATTGGCAGTCTAAACAGACATCTGCCACATTCCCCAGCAAAATTTTAATCCAAAATAAGTTTTTCTGACATGATTTAGAATTTCCCTACCTGCTGTAAACTGGAAAATGGATTTCATTTTTGGCTTTATTATAGCATAATAAGAACGGTGTATGGGGGAGTAAGTAAAATCATTCTTACTTGTATGCTTATCTCCCTTTTTACATCCGGTGTTCATGCCCATCCACATTTCACAACTGGAGTATATCTAAAACAGAGCTGGGAGCCCAGGTAATCACAGCTGATTAGCAAATACATAGTAAATTATAACTGGCAAAGCAATTTCAGAAACTCGGTCTCACTCAGTCCTCACCACCTCTCACGTGACAGATTCTAATTTTGAAAAATTAAAAACCAAGGCTCAAGAAATTAAATAGCTCCTCAGCCGGGCAGAGGAGGGAGCAGTCATGCCCTGCTCTTTGACTTGGACAGACACCCACCCAGTGAATCACTTTCCACTTCAATATACATTTTGTATATCTTGGGTCTCTTGCCTCCACATGAATGAGGTTTTTGTATATTCTAAGCATAACTTTCACTTCCATGAGTTGGTAAGAATAGATCCTTAAAGCTATCTGATGACAGTATAAATTCTGCTTAACAGCTGTTTTTAATGTCTCTCTAAAGTGAAAAGGTGAAAAACATTCTCTTCTCTCTTTATAGATTTTGATTTATGGAAATGAATTTGACAAAAGATTCTTTGTACCTGCTGAAAAAATTGTGATTAACTTTATCACCCTCAATATTTTGGAGGATTCTAAAATTTCTCATAAGGATATAAGTGTAATGGAAAAAAACAATGATGCCTCAGACCTGAATGAGCCCAGCGAGGACCAGGAGCCCCAGCAGGAAGAAATGGAGGTGAAGCGCTTAGGATATGCTTCACATCTGATGGACATTTTCTGTGACTCTGAGAAATACACCAAAGGGTCTTCCCTAACCCAGCAAGAGTCACTCAGCGGAACAACACCCACAGCTAGAACAGTCATTGAATATGAATATGATGTAAGAACTACTGACATTTGTGTGGGGCCTGGAGATCAGGCGCTCAGTCTGCAGGAGGTGTTCCTCCAAGGAAAATTATTTGAGCAACAAGCAGCTTTGGCAGTCACAGATCCACAAACACTACTGTATTCATATACCCCTCAGCTCAGAGACTTAGACCACCAGCCACAGGAGTACGTGGACGTGGAAGAAGGGCCAGAGGAAGAACTATCAACTACACTTGTCGATTGGGACCCTCAGACTGGCAGGCTGTGTATACCTTCATTATCTAGCTTTGAACATGACTCAGAAGACTGTGAGTTTCCTGAGTACAAGGAGCTCACAGAAGAGGGCCTTTTGTCTAGACTCTATGAGAAACAGGCTCTAGACAAGTCACTGGAAGAAGATGAAACCTATCTTTTGCAATTTTTGGAGGAATGGGGATTATATGTACAAATGGAAGACTAATGCCCAAACATTCCTCTGCCAGATCACTACTGTTACAAGGCCCATGAGTGCAAATGTATGAATGAATGAACAGTAAAGTACCTGGGATAAAAGAAGCTTACTCACATTTTTCTGTGTCTGTGAGAATTCCTTATTTCTTCTTTCTATTCTCATAGCACTTGTTTCGTTCTGCCTCATATGGGTGGTTGGTTCATGCACGTGGATCTTTTACAATGGTGGCGGGCATCTGGAGTACAGTGGGTAACCTGTTGATTTGTACCCAATAAATATTCAAAAGTGTTCCAAATTAGATGCAGAATGTATTCAGGTGGGCGTACATCTTTGTTTTTTATTATCTAACAAGCACACCTCTACAATTATTTTCTGGACACTTAACAAGTGTATAACACTGTATAAAATATTTCACGAAGACCATTCATGTTATAAATACTACTTTTTTAGAATTTGGTTTATTGTTAGAATGAAATATTTAAAACATACTAATATCACTAAGTAGGTGATAAGTTGGTCAGATTTAAGGACCCTAACCCACCACTAAGTCATAATAATCTATGTTCAAAGTGAATAAATCAGGCACAGATCTTCTTGATATGACATGATTTTGGCTACTTTAAGTGGTCATATTAAAACTTGATGAGAAATTCCAAAGTGTAAACATAAATTGTTATTATCTTGTAGTCAGAAAATGTCCTCTCAATAACTTAGTAGGGGCTTCTTACTCCCCAAAAAGAAAATCTCACATTTTATAATAGAATATTACATTTACTCCTAGAAATATTTTTAAAAGACATTTACATAGGCTATAAACTAGAACATGTTTAGCAGTTGAAGCAATGTGTTACTATTATATTATTCTGTTAGAAAGGACAATGTGTCAAAGACTACTTGGAATACATATGAATGAATATTCCCCATCCACGTAATCTTAAAATCAATAAATAAGGACATACAGAAGAAATAAGTTGAATGACTATGAAAGGTTGAATGTATTAACAATTGGACATAATTTACTGTGGGAACTAAAGTGAACCATAGAACAATACCATCTTAGTTAAATTCCAGCAACTATTGCCCTCTCTTTCACCATTTGCTTAGAAAATTAAATTCTAATGTAAAGCATGGCATGGCGACTGCAACTAACAACGCTGTGTTGCACATTTGGAAATTGCTGAGAGAGTAGACCTTAGTTCTCATCATAGGAAGAGATGTGTGTGTGTCAACTAGACTTATTGCAGTGATCATTTCACAATACATACAAATATTGAATCATTATGTTGTATACCTGAAATAATGTTAATTACAGAACGGTAAAAATTTTTTCAAAAAAAAAATTCTACAATTACACTGCATTAAAATATGACAGAATCTATTAAGTTGAACCATACAAAATTGATATTTGACCAGTTTTGACCAGCAGAAGCAACAATTTCTCATGATTTACCTTAATATACATTTGTTTTAATCATAAACTCATAATGCATTGATGCTTTTTCAGGAAAACAGACACCATCCACATTTCCTTATTTATGTTTTTGGCACAGGCAGACAACTCTGGTAGGAGAAATGGATTTTGGAGTCATGGTCTTTTGATATTGTGCACAAATCCAAACAGTTTCTGATCTAATGGTTTAATTTAGAGCATAATTATATTAAACAGAGTGTTCTGTTCTTCTTGATCTTTGTAGAAATGATTCTGCCAGTTTTGAAGAACAGATTTATAATACTAACTGTAAAGGAAGATCAAGAGTGGGAAAGAATGACTTGTTATTAAGAGCAAAAAGAAAATAAAGTGATTGATGATAGTTTGGCTTAATCATTTCATTCACAAAATATTGAGCACCTACTATGTCCCACAGTGCCCTCATCTAGAAATGGGGACGACAACACCCTTATGGTTTTCAGGATAAAAGAGTTAGAAAACGAAAGGCACTTAGATCGGTGCCTATCACACAGTGACTGCTATTTATGTGATTGTCATCGTCATTAGTAACAGCCAGAGTGTGTGCTTAGCACCAGAAAGAGAAGCCACTTAGACGTATGACTATTTTGATTCAAAGACAGAGCTTGCCTCACTTTATTTTTCTTACCTGAAAGTACAATAGTAATTTGCTTCCCACCTTATGCCTTCTGATTGAAATCTGCCAGCAGTTTTGTAAAAGAGAATAATTCTGAGTTGCTTTTACATCTCTTGTCATTCTACGCACATCAGAAGTATCGAGCATTTTTAAAATGTTGCCTCAGTACTTTGCAACATGCATACATACGCATATATATTCAAACGTGGGCATACGATAGGTATTTCTTGTGGAAAAGGTTGCCCATTCTTAGATGTGATTTATTTGTGTGGGGTGTAGCCATCGTGCATCCTGTCACCTTGTGGCCAAGACCTCAGTAACTCCAAGCATTTGTCCTCTGGGACCGCCTCAGATTCTATCGTTAGGCCTGAAGTCCAAGCGAAGCTGGGAAGTTGAGGTTTCAGGATCTTTGACAAATACTCTTCATGTCCTCACTGGTTGTTCGCCAGCCCTAGGCTTTTGCATACCTCGTCCACATCAGGTGAGTTTCCTTCACAGAAACGTGTTAGTGACTTATTTCCACACCTTATAAATTCTAAACAATGGGGTGAATGAAAATGCCGCCACTACTAGGGGAGTGAAACCTGGTGCCACATCTTGCACACAGGAGGGAAGGGCTGAAGATGGACACTTGTCCCCTCAGCCTACAACATGAGAAAGATCCGGTGCCCCTAGGCTGAGCTCAACTTAGAGGAAATGAGTACAGAGAAAAACATTTGTACAGCCTAGATGCAAGTCCATCCAGAGGGGTAAATCTAATGGAAACATCAAATAGAGGGCTCCATTAGCATGGATCAGTGCACCTGGGTCATAAATCAAGTTCTTTCTGGCCCTTATTTACCACTCCCACAACCTGAGATGAATTTTTGCTAAATTATCTTGGAAGAACTGTTTTTTCTCTATTTCCTTTGTGGTTCCCCACATTATATCTTCCATCAATATTCTACCTATTGTTTTATCCAAGGCTGCTCAAAACCATGTGTCTATAATTTTTAATAAATATGCTATGTGGTGGGTGTTTTAATGGCAGCTTTTATTTATTAATATAGAAGTTAAATGTACACATATTCATTAAAGGGTATATAAAGAAATAAAGGAGGAGGAGTAAAAATTACCTGTAACACTTCCACCCAGATTTAACGACTGCAAACATATTAAGGTAGAGAAACGATTCTAAACTGGGAGTAATATTGCCATCATGGGACATCTGGCAATGTCCGGAGTCATTTCTGATTATTAGAATGTGGGAAGGGTGCTCCTGGCATCTAGTGGGGAGAAGCCAAGAATACTGCTAAAGATCCTACATTGCACAGGGCAGCCCCCCCCATAACAAAGAGTTATTCAGCCCCAAATGTCAATAGTATAGCCTAGGTTAATAAACCCTAGTGTAGAAATTTCCAGACACTTGAATGCATATATGTACATATTTTTCCCAAAAAGAGGGATCATACTGAACTCTTTTGTAACTTGCTCTTTTCACTCAAACACATATAACAAACTATCTTATTTTAGTTATGCTTAAGTTAACTTTACGAAGCACGCATCTTATTCAACAAGAACTATTGAAATGGCAGATTACAAATTACTTTTTCTAAACTTAATGCTCTAAAATTTTTTTTAGTGAAACAGCAACCAGAAGTTGCAGTTACTTAAGAGAAAAGTGCTGTGAGTCCTTTAAAGGTAACTGAACCTCTCCAGAACATTATTTCCTAAAAATTGCTACCTCTTTAGAGTGACTGGATGACTAGTAAGTAGTTGGCCATCTACCTTTCTTTTGAGGTGTTGGACTCCCCTTAGTTCCTACTCTCTCTCCTCTTAGTCTTCAGGATCTTCAGTGACAAGCGCTTGAAGGCAACCTTGGCTTTCACTGTAAATCCTGGGTAGACATTCATGTTTATATCACTGCTCCTCCTCCAGGCTCCTTTGCCTGTGGCAGCTGCAACATTTCTTTCAAACTTTGCTAGTTTTAGTCTTTAACAAATTTTCCAGTTGGTTTTCATTTCTCAATGCCTAAAGATGCTGGGCTAAGGTTCCGAAAGCATTGCTCCATCCAAGGCTCCCTTGAGGGCTAGTGAGGGCTGGTGTGTGATGTATTGGTGCCAGCTGAGGGAGGCTCCTTTTGTCCTCAGGAATGGCTGCCTGCTCATGTGTTTCCCTAAAACTGTCTCTGGCACTTGGCTAAATTTGGAAGCAGATGAGGTATTTTCTCCCTTCCTTTCTCAACATATTTCTTTTGACTTCTCAATCTGTCATTCTTTGCCTAAGGTGGTACTTGGAAGCTTCCCACAAATTCAGAAGATGGACATGTGGTTCACGTTTATGTTTTTGTGCACGAGCCACTGAGATAATGAATGCTGTTGGGGATAAATACCATCCACCATTTGCTTCTCCCTGAAACTGACTACTATGGGACATGTGAATAAGCCACTGCTCTTAAAAATCTTGTGTAGTTAAGGTAGTTTACATATCATTCTTTCTTCTAATAAAGGGCATTCTTCCCAATTCTGAAATTGATTTGAAATGCAGACATTTCAGAATATTTGATGTGAGAGGGAAAAAAAATGGGCATTTTAATTCCAACTCCCAAAGAGGAGGCATGGAATATTGGATCTTTATTAAATTTGTTGACTTTGTGCTTTTAAAAGAATTTGACAGCATTTGATTTAATGAAAGGTTAGGTAGACAAATGAAAACAAACCAGAATTTTTCAATCAATTGAGTGATTGATTAGCAGAAGAATCAGTATGGTGTACTGATTGAAAGTGTAGACCCTGAAGCTAAGAAGCTCGGATCAAAGTCCGGCTCTGTCCCTACTTAGGCTTTTCAACTTAAGCAGTTTATTTAACCTCTTTGGACCACATTCCCTCATCTATAAAATGGAGATAATAATTGTATCTACCTCATACAGTTGTGGGAGGCTTAAATGAATCAATACATTTAAAATGCTTAGGAGAGTGCCTGACTCAAACTAAGTGCTTGATAAATGTCAGCAATAAG